AATAATATAATAATAATTGGTCACCTCAACCCGCGACTGTTTGTGGGACGCTGCTGTGTTTCTCCCACAAAACGTACAGTCAATTCACTTCACTGTGAAGCGCTTTGAGACGTCTCGAAGACGCGATACGACGCTGCCTCAGATGCAAGAATTATTATTCTATTGATATCGTTGATTATAACAACACTCTTTCCCCCTTCTCTGTCCCCCTCCGTCTACCTGTCCTTTGCAGGTGTGGTGCAGCACTGCGCAAGTTGCCGAAGGGAGTGCTTATGGAGGGTGTGTGCAGTCCAATGGCCAGACCTGGGGACCTCATCTCCTCGCCGGCCTCCTCCTTCGACCCCGAGCCACTGGGACCGGCCAGGCTACCAAGAGTGGCTCTCAAAGCCAACCAGGTGGGGCAAGTGGTGTTGTACGGGGTGCCCATCGTGTCCCTGGTCATCGACAGCATCGAGCGCCTGTGCCTGGCTCAAATCTCCAACACGTTGCTCAAGAGCTACAGCTACAACGAGATCCACAACAGGAGGGTGGCTCTGGGCATCACTTGCGTCCAGTGCACTCCGGTCCAACTGGAGATCCTGCGGCGAGCGGGAGCCATGCCTATCTCCAGCAGGAGGTGCGGGATGATCACCAAGAGGGAAGCCGAGAGGCTTTGCAAGTCCTTTCTGGGCGAGAACTCTCCGCCCAAGTTGCCGGACAACTTCGCCTTCGACGTGAGCCACGAGTGTGCCTGGGGCTCGCGGGGAAGTTTCATCCCAGCGCGTTACAACAGCTCTCGGGCCAAGTGCATCAAGTGCGCGTACTGCAGCATGTACTTCTCCCCCAACAAGTTCATCTTCCACTCGCACCGGACCCCGGAGTCCAAGTACACCCAACCCGACGCCGCCAACTTCAACTCCTGGCGACGGCACCTGAAGCTGAGTGAGAGGACCCCCCCCCAGGAGCTGGCCTACGCCTGGGAGGACGTCAAAGCCATGTTCAACGGGGGCAGCCGCAAACGCACCGCCCCCTCCTCCTCCCACAAGGTCCTCGGGGGCCACCTGAGCCACCTGCTGGCCCCGGCCCCGGGGATGGCCCCCAAAGTCACCGGCTTCAGTCGGGGCCCCGAGTTGGGGCCCCGGGCGGACCTGGAGCCAGAAGTGGAGGCCGAGGCCCCCCCCAGGAAGAGCGCGCGTAGTTTCCCGGTCATCCCCGTCCCCAGCAAGGGCTTCGGGATGCTCCACAAGTTCCCCTCCGCCGCCTCACTCTTCCCCGGTCCCTACGCGTTTCCCGCCTTCGGGATTTGCCAGAAGAAGGAGGACGGCGGTGGGGAGGGGGTGTGGACCCCCTATTGGGGGGCAACAAGCCTGGGGGGCTGTCGGGTCTGCTCTGGCCTGGGAGGAAGGACGCTTTCTACCCACCCCTCTGCATGTTCTGGCCCTCGAGACAAGCCGCCTACATCCACCCCCCACCCACAGCAGCCGTGGCTTCGCTCGCGGAGACCCCCAATGCGAGGCGAGGCTTCCCGGACCCCGGGGACCTGATCGCGCCCCTTCGGGATGGGCTGTACGACAGCGACGGACTCAGTGGTCTCCTCGCCCCCGGGCACAGGCTGGAGGCGGATGGGGGCGAGAGGCAAGCGGGGGGCTTGGTCCCAGGCAAGCCCGGCTATCTGTCCGCCTTCAGGCCCGTCCTCAAAGACCACCCAAGCCTGGCGCAGATCCACCGCCACTCCCCGCCCCCCAGCAGCGACGGGGACAGCGGGGACAGCGCTGGGGAGCAGGAGGTGGACGTGGGGGAGAGCTGTGAGGCCACCCGCCCGGACAGGGGGGGCGAGGAGGGGCGAGAAGGCAACCACAGCCCCCGCTCGCTCACTCCCTCCAGCTCACATGTAAATATCCACTCTTTTTTTGGGGCATATTTTATCTCTCGTCTCTCGACTTTCTCTCATTGCAATTTGGGGGCTTGGATTTACTCACATCATATAAAGATTCTCCCCTCCTCCCCTGCGCCCGCACCCCTCCCTCACACACCCTCCCCCCCCACCCACCTCTCTCTCTCTCTCTCTTCCCTTCATCTCTCCACCCCCTCTCTCTCTCTCCCCCCACCCCACCCCTCACCCCTTCATCTCTCCACCCTCTCTCTCCACCCCTCCACCCCCGCGCCTTCTCTCTCTCTCCCCACCCCTCACCCCTTCATCTCCCCACCCTCTCTCCCCCCGCCCCACCCCTGCGCCCCTTCTCTCTCCCCCCACCCCTCACCCCTTCACCTCTCCACCATCTGTCCCCCCCCTTCTCTCTCTCTTTCTCCTGCTCTCCTCTTGGATTTCAGATATAAATCAGACGTGTCTTATTGAACGGCGGAACAGGCTCGAGGGGCTGAATAGCTTACTCCTGTTGCTATGTTCCCTGCTCTCCCTCTCCCCCGGCCCCTCTCCCTCTCTCCCCCTTCCTTCTCTCTTTACCTGAGAACCCGGTTGTTAGTCGATTGGGGGAATGGCTTTTCCAGGGGTAACATTCCC